AAGTGTTTGGTTTGAGGCTGGGTTTGAACTCAGGTCCTCCTGACTTCAGGGCTTGTGTTCTATCCACTGCACCACCTAGCTGCCCTGACCTCTGGCTTTTAAATAGAGTGAAGAAGCTAATTATGAGTACCCATCAGTATGTCCTTGGATTCATTTAATGACTTAATTAAATAAGTAAAATGTCAGAATACATTTGTTCTTGCTAGGTTCAGTATCTAATTGTCTCATCTAAAGGGTTTCTTAGACTTATATAGGCACCATGCTTGCAAATGTACAAAGTTAGTTCAAAATATATAGTTCCTTACGTGAACTGATGCTGAGTGAAGTGAGTAGAACTAGGAAAATATTGTACACAATAATGGCCGCATTGCGAGATGATCAGCTGTGATAGACTTAACTCTACTTAGCAATACAGTGATCCAGGACAATTCTGAAAGACTCATGATGAAAAATGCACATCCAGAGAAAGAACTGATGGAGTCTGAATTGCAGATCAAAGGATACCTTTCACTTCCTTTGTTGTGTGTGTGTGTGTGTGTGTGTGTTTTCTTTTTTTCTGTTTCTTCTTTCACAGCATGACTACTATGGAAATATGTTTACTATGGAAATATGTTTACATGACTGTATACATATAACCTATATCATATTGTTTGCCATCTTGGGGAGGGAAAAAAAGAGAGAGGGAGAAAAATTTGGAACTCAAAATCTTATGAAAATGAATGTTGAAAACTATCTATACATGTAATTGGAAAAAAATAAAATGCTATTTACATTAAAACCAAACCAAACAAAAACAAAATTAAAGTTCCTAGCCAGGACTATGTGTTGTATGTATGTATGTATGTATGTATGTATGTGTGTATGTATGTGTGTATGTATGTATGTGTATAGGTAGGTAGTTAGTCTGGACCTAAGATTTTATCATGGAGACTCCCTATGCCACTATAAATGAACAACTTTTTTTTTAATCAGTCAGAATCTAAGAGAGTTATTTGGGGGCAGAGATGTAGTGACTATCCATGGTCACACATTTAAGTATGAGTCAGAGGCCCCAAGTCTTCCTGACTCCAGGGCCAGTTCTCTGCCTACTAAACTACATTGCCTCTTGGATTGTTGGAGATTATAAATGGGTAGAGTACACTGAATACCTTTAGTTCCCACTAGGCTAGTTTTCCTCAGAGTGAGCCATGAAGAAGGTTTCTAAAAGGGCCTAGAGACTGGTGATCTGAAAGCTAGTTTTGGCTTTATGTTCTCCCTAGGACTAATGACACTGCCATTTTTTTTCTAGCTACTGTCTGTTACTTGGTTTGCCTTATGAGGCCCCTCACCAAACTCAGGTAGAAAACTCTGGTGAGAACCTAATTATTTATGATAGAAAGCAACTGGTTTGCTTTTTGCTCCTAAATAATACAGAAATCCTGACTTTTTTTTTTGCTTTTGGGGTGATGGAATGTAGTTTGGGGAAATATTATTAGAGGAAATGCAGCTTTCAGCAGTACAGAATATCTTCCCATTTCATAAGATCATAGGAGCTCAGACATAGAGGATATTTATTTCATCTCACTCATTTTAACAGATGAGGAAATAGGTTCAGGGGGTTTAAATGATTTGTTGAAGATGGTAAACGCAATAAGTTTCAGAGCTGGGATTCAAACTCAGTTCTGACCACAAACGCGGTACTTGATTAGCCTGTGAACATATTGCCTTCTCGGTTCTGCCTTTTTTTTTTTGTTTCAGCCTTAAACTTATGTTATTTCAACTCGTATTATAAATCTTTGAACTAAATATTTTATATATTGGGGTATTTCTTTGCACAAGGCCTCCAAAAACACTCTGACTCTCCTGTAACAAAGTACATACTTTATAAAATAAATACCAAGATGAAACTGTAGAGGCAGAGGATTTGGGCATGTTGGTCAGTGACATTGTTTTTAAAATCACTGATGCCACACTCAAGCCCCTTTTTCACTATGAATCTTAGAGATCTACATGTTCAGTTAAACAAAAAAAAAGGGGGGGAGTAGGAGGGGAGGCTTTATTGCAGATAATTAATTAAAGTACTCATTTGGAAAGCAGTACTGTTTTGTCACTGACACAATTCCTTGAAGTTCAGAATAGACTTTAAGCTCAGGGAACATGGTTAGAATTAGAAGGTTGTATAGCTTGTGCAGTACATAATGGATGAGCAACCTAAGAATAGGAGGAGGCAGATTCAGCATGGAAATTTGAATGAAACTAAAGAATGGAGAATCAGAGACATGAGCTACTCATTCTTCAGTAACTTTCTCAGTTAAAGACATTAGCCTGAGATACGACTTTTGGCATGCATAGGATTACTAATGTGCTGTCCCAGTTGCAAATGATCTAAAAGCAAGTAACAGATCTTAATGTATGGATCAGTGTGATTTAGCAAATGTTTAAGGAACACAGGAAAAAAAGGCTTATAGACAGGAAAACCAGCCATGGGAAATTAGCATTTTCCTTTCTCTCAGTGTGTCCTGTATCCTCCTAAACCTTCTTTCCTTATATTATTCAAGAATAATTCTTAGAATTAATGATGTCTTTAAAATCCCAAGATTACTGTCCTTATCTAAAAGTAAAATAGAGCCTTGGTCTTCCTTTTTTTATTTGCACTGGTTAAGGTAAAAATTCTCAGGCTTGAGTTTCATATTTCAAAAATCATAAACGAATAACCACAATATGTTTCTCTCCCTCCATACACCTAAGTTTATATGCTCTTTAAATTTGGAAAATGGAGTGTTTACTACTTTTTATTCTACTATTCTTATTTTATTTCTAATTCTAATATAATCTATTCTAATATTTAGCTCTCTCTACTAAAAGACAGAGGAGATAAAAAATGGAATTCCTATAATTTCATTCCATTTCTCCAGTGGAAGGAACCGTTGTAGCTGGGTATTCTTTTAACTTTTTAACTGAAGGCACTTTTCTTTTTTCCTTTTTTTTGGGGGGTGTGTGTCTGAATTATTCAGTCTAAGGCATCGTGGAATGTTTGGCAATACTTTGAATGGTCTTTAGTGTTTGGCAACACTATTCTCTCCTAATACCTTTCCATCTTTTACTTAAAGGCTAAGATTTTCCTAGCAAAGTATGAGATTTAGAAAATCTTTAGTCAGCATTAACTCTTAGACAGCCTGGAAATATATGTTGTTGGATACAAAGGAAGGAGGGAGTAGGTAAGGGATAGGATGATGGACTAGTGCTAATCTATCATTGTTTCTAGGAAAACAAGTCAAAGTGTAAACCACCCTAGTAGTGACTAGCCAGTCCTATTGTCTTATATATAAAGAATAGCACAGTGCTCTAAAGGCAGGTATATCTACGAAAGTCATTGAAGAGCACCAAAGTGTTACAATAGAAAGGACCATGGCCAATAGTTCAGAAGACCTGGGATCTAGCTTTGCTTTTTTCACTATGCCATGACTATAGCCATATGGCATTATTGGAAAAATATTAGTTCTCCTCCCTCCAGCTTTTGTCTTATCTTTTTCTTACTTTTAGAAAACCCTTGCTGGTTCCACTGCCTGCCTTCCAAATACTTTTCAACTCTGCAGTCTGGTTTCCATACCCACCACTCTACTAAAATACTCTCTTCTAGAATTACCACTGACTTCTTTTTTTTTTTTTTAGGCAGTTGGGGTTAAGTGACTTGCCCAGGGTCACACAGCTAGTAAGTGTCAAGTGTTTGGTCTGAGGTTGGATTTGAATTCAGGTCCTCCTGACTTCAGGGCCAGTTCTCTATCTACTGCGCCACCTAGCTGCCCCCACTGACTGCTTAATTACCCAGTCCTCTCACTGGCCTCTCATGAGTCATCTTCTTTGACATTTCTGCGGCATTGAATGTTATTGATGTCCGTATCTTTCACGATACTTTTTTCTCTTTTATTTCATGATACTGGTTCCTTTTAGTGATCGTTTCTTTTCCTTTATTATTTCATTTTAGATACCTAACTTTGAGGATCTTTCTATTCTCTAACCTTAATATCCCTTTCTTCTCTCACTGTCTCCTTCCCTTGGCAATATTATCTCTTTCCATGACTTCAAACATCTATTCCAAATAGTTGGCTCCCAAATCAGTATGTCCAGCCTTTAAAGGAGTTTAGACTAAGTGGTAAAACGCCAAATTTGTTGAGGAGACATTTGGCAAAATTCAAGAGTAATTGAGAAAAACTTGGACAATTTCTAGACCTAGATATTGGTCTGGATTCTTCTTCCAGAAGACTAAGTAAGGGAAGCTAGATCATGGACAATTAAGGAGGCTATAAAAGGATTAAGGAGGAATAAAGAAGATTTAGGACGATTAGGAAGTAAACTTGAAGGTAGACTCAAGAAAGATAAGGAGAAGGTAGCTGGCAATACAAAACAAAGTAAGAAAAGGAAAGTGGGAAAATCAGAAGTTTAAACAAATTGCGAGGGTGGATTAGTAGGCGGGACAAATTAATGAAACAGATTGGTAGGCTGAAGGGGAGGTAGTTATGGCTATGACTGTGGAGTTGCTGAGACAAAAGAAAAGAATTTGAGTGGAGTTGTCAAGTTATTAAGAAATGATAATTGGATGCTTCCAGCATCTCTCTGATATAATTCATCCTAATCTTCCTCAAATATCCCATTTCACAATGTTACTCCTTTGTTTGGAAATCTTTAATACCATCATTACTACTATCAGTATCTCAAATAATGGGGTTGGTCCATTGGATCATAATGTTAAAGCTTGAGGGAACCTTAGAAACCATTTAGTGTCATCTCTTTGTTTTACAGTGAGGCAACTGAGATCCAGAGAGGTAAGTGGACTTGCCCAAAGTCACATAGGTGGAAGAGCCAGGACTCAAATTCAGGTCCTTTGACTCCAAATCCCATCTTCTTTCTACAGTATTATACATTTACTTTCTAACAACTGGCTGTCGTCTCGTGTTACTTGTCTAGCTGAAGTACATCTTGGTTGTAATTGCTTTTATTGCTATTTGATTTACATATTATAGTTGGAAACTGTGGAGCTAGTGAATATAATCCCTCCAATTCCACCTCTGAGTCCTAGATTTGGTGACATCCGAAACATTTCTCTAAGAGTGACTCCAGATATTGCAAATGGAGAGATTGGCTTTATCAGCAATCTTCCAGTTATTCTTCATGAGCCAGAAGATTCCTATGCTGAAGTGGTAAGTAGAATGTTTCTCACCAGTGATGACTTTTGTAGTTTGAAGCGTTTTTCCAATTGTGGCTTTTAGGAGGGGGATTCTAGTTTTTCTGAGGTTAGTACATGCATTTACTAATTTTGTCCTAGTAAGTTTTACAATAGAATTTTCATAGTTTTTAAGTTGCTTAATTTTTATATTTGAGGAATTGCCACAGATTATAACCTTATTCTTGGGAGTCAGCTTTCCTAGAATTGTACATTTTTCCAATTAAGACAAACTATTTAGAAACATTAACATGAAACCAAATAAAAAAGTCAATAATTTCTAAGATTTATCCTTACTTTTGGAAGAGAAAGGAAGATCCACAAGTGTTTGGTTGCACAGTTGAGATTTTTATTTTATTTAACATCATTTCAGTGTTGCTATTTTAAAAAGTACTTAGCAAAATGTGCATGCTCTAGACAATGTCTGTATAATTAATCTCAGTCATTTCATAGGGATTTGTTATATTTTATCTGTCAGGTTTCTATTCCCTTACATCGAGATGGAACTGATGGCCAGGCCACTGTATTTTGGAGTTTGAAGCCCTCTGGGTTTAATTCAAAATCAGTGACACTAGATGACATAGGCCCTTTTAATGGTTCTGTTGTATTTTTATCTGGGCAAAGTGATACAATGATTAATATTACTGTCAAAGCGGATGATATACCAGAAATGAATGAAACAGTAACACTATCTCTGGACAGGTAAAGATTCTTTATATCTTATATAATATTTGTATGCATCTAGTTGAATGTTTCTACTTTTTGTTTTTATTCTGTCCTTTGGATTGGACAGTAAGAAATTAATTCAGGTAACAAGAGAGTGTGATGATGGAAGCATTATGAATTTGCACGTTGGATTCTGGTTTGAATACTAAAACACTCACAGACTTGATCCTTTCTTTTATTTCTGATCTAAATGTGAAAGTAAAATCTCTCAGACTCTGCAGAATCATCTAACATAAGTTACAGACTGATGAATTTCATACTAAATCTTGGGAGAAGGTTTGCTTATTAGAATTTATTTGAGGCATCAGATTCAGCTTTTGAATATTAACAAATGTGTTAATGTAACAATAAAGTAAGCAGGTGCAGATACAAAATTGTAAGACACTTACAGATGAATATGAGGTTTAGCATAAAATTCCTCAGTCTATAACTTATATTAAAACAGTATTACAATCCCCAAGAGAGAGATACTTTACAGTTGAGATAAGATCTATTTTTCTTCAGAAATAAAAGAAAGGAAAAAGACTTCAAGGTTTTTAGTATTTGACAGTAAAATTGATTCTAATTACTATCTTGTTTTTTTCCCCTCCTATGTTGGGTAATTATTGCAGGCCAGTTTACTTTAGGTTAGAATCATACAACTAGTGTAGACCAAGTTGAATCTGATTGAAGAAAGCTTAATTAACTATGGAAATGTAGATGTTTTGACAAGAAAATAAAACAGAAATGACTTCAAGAGATGCTATGCTTTACTACATTATTTAGGGAGGAAGTAGAAACAGTTTTCCTTAGTTTTATGTAATAGATGGTCTCACTTAGCATTTATTTTTTATGGATGTAATAATTTTTAAAAAATGTTTAGGTTTTAGTTACATCTTTTTTCCATTTTTTAAATTGGAGAAAAAGTGCCTTTGGAAATTTTGTGAGAATTCCTTTATTAAGTGAAAGAAAAAAAAACCGTTAGAACCAGTTCTGTTGGTTTATCCCCTTTCATACAGGGGAAGAAACCCACTAAAAAGTAAAATGCCTTGTAGGATCAAATACATTTTGGATTAAACCCCAGGGAGAAGAATTTCTTATGAAACTCTGTGAAATCTATCCTAGAAAATCCTTCTTCATTTAATTCTTTTCTCCCCCTTCAAGTTAGTTCCTGGCACTAATTAAATCAGTGTATAATCCTGCAAAAATTAAAGAGAGATGAACAGTGAATACAAACCTTGGCAGTAGAGCAATCAGACTGTATTTCACAATAACTTTGAGCTCTGAGCTAAATATGTTTAAAAAGGCAAGATTTTCATAACTGTAATGCAAATTTACATTGTTCTGTATCTTAGTGGGTCTTCCAAAGCACTAATTTTTGAACTTCAGCCATGTTAACTTCCTAATCTCATTTTAAAAGAAATTTAAAAATACATTATGTACAATAATGTGTCAATACCAGGCTTGTTAAAGCTTTTTCATTTCTTTTTATTCTTTTCTTCCTGTAAGCACAAATGACACCCCAGAAAATTGTATACCACAGGACTGTGAAAGTTAATTGGCTTCTTTTTCATTTTAAAGGAAATTAGCTCATAGTTTAATATGTTCACCTTTTATTAGTATGCATCAGTTCATAACTGCAACATACTTCTGCCATCTAAGTTGTTTGTGACCAAGAAGGAATGCTGTTTTTTAATATGGGTCTTACATTCTTTTAATAATCCTTCATTTAATGTTTGAATGTGTATTATTCACATAAAAATTGATTCTAAGAAGACAGTATGATTTAAAAGGATCAAATGCTCACTGTTATTTTTTGTTCCTGCTACCTGGGTAAACTAGAATAAAACTACATACTATCAACTAATCAAAGTAGATTATAATTGCTTTCAGTAATATTCCTGAAAAATAGAGTTTAATGGACCAATTTGCCAGGGAAACTTTAGACAAAAGCCCAATTCAGGCCATTGATCTCCGAATTTCATATTCATATAATTAAACTTTGCCTCAGTTGAAGACTTTTATTTTAAAAATTCATACTTTTATTTGCTAATTTTAAACAAAATATATAGCTTCTAATTCATTTTCTGAAAATCAGAAACATTCTCATCATTCTAATCTGAGGGTGGAAAATTTTTCATTTTTCAATGTTTAGAAATCTACTAACCAGGCATCAACTGTAAGCTTGCCATAGCAAAGCATAAAGGGTGAGGTATCTTTAGTTCAATGGACTTCCTAAATATATTTGAATCAATTAATTGAGGATGAGAGACTGATGTTTATGGTTCATTTTATGTCTACAAATGTAATTGTCTATTACTTGTCATGATTAAAACCTATAACAATAAAATTTTGTGAATTCTTGGGTTTGTCCTCAAGCAAATGATTAAAATAAATCTGTATTTCTCACCTTACATGGTTTCTACACCCTTCCCTCCTAATCAAAGGACAATAGGCTTTAGATACTGAGAATTAAGTTTCTTTAAAAAAAAAACCTAATTAAAGGCACTAAGTAATTATAAATGGCTTGAATAAAATTTGCTCAGCTGCTGCAGTCTGTGAGCATGAACAGTGCTTGGCAAGCGTCTAGTTTCTTGGAGGAGGGCTGTTGAGGAATGTCTTGAATGGGTCTTGACATGCTGGTTGGTCATGGGGTCATCTCACACAAGTGGGAACTACCCAACCTCTTGCTAGCAATTGTCAATACTAAAAGCACCCAGTGAGCAGGGTTCTCATAAAGTGAACATTATTAGCTATTAGAAAGAGGGGGAAAAAGACTTTCTTTATTTTCATCTCTCTATTCCAAGTTTGGTACAGTGTTCTTGAGATTCTGGCAAACGGCAGTTTTTTTATTGGCTTCCCCTTCCCTACTTCTTTCTGTTGACAGGGTAGAAACCAAAAGGTTTGTCGTGTATTTTGGGTAAGTGCACAAAGTAATGTCTTTGTTTTTGGTGAATCAGCATTTTGTTTTGCAAGTAACTGTTTTTTTTTCCCTTTCCCATCAGCCTGTGCATGCTTTGTGTGCAGTTTCAGTTATGAATGACATGGAGTGCTGACATTAGACATTTTTTTGTATAGGAGATCTGACTTGTAGTATGTAGTATTTGATGTTTGAGATGTTGGTGCTTCTGAACATAATTTACAATTTTGAACCATAGTTTACACATGAAAAGAAAATTTGTAGACAGATATATGTTTGTTGTGGATAAAGCTCATATGTGTACAAAATTATTTTATTTTTTAAGCTGGCAGAGGATTGGGAATTATTTCTTAACCCTTTTCTCCCTCCTATTTTCTGTGTGACTGAGCAGATTTACTGTTATTAATGGGACTCTGCAGCTACACTTTACCATCTTGCATTCTTTGTAGAGAGAAAGTCATTAGACTTCTCAGTTCTTGTGCACGCTAGAAAATGGTTAGGTCACACTGGTCAGAATAGGCAGGGTTGAATAAGTGCTAGGAAATAAGTGCAGGCAAACTCTTGATAATCAGCGTATGAGCTCTCTAGTCTCTTGATTCTTTGGACTGGTATTTACATTTAAATTTCTGGTCCAGTTTCTCCTCTTTACCGTTTCCACTTATTTTTCTGGGCAGCATATGCTAAGTGAATTTGAGCTAATTTTAATGCTCAAATGAAACATAATTAGGAAGGTAAATTTGTTAAAAAAAATTGACATGGATATATTAAGCTTGTCAAATGACTGTGTATTTTCTTTTGCCTTGATTCTTTGTACTGTGATGAAAGGTGGTTTTGGTACTTTTAACCCTTAGGGATGGCTAGTTCACTTGATGTGGAGATGTGAAGTTTATTCCTCCACCATACCACCTTGAAGTATGTTGAGCTGTCATGATGGGTGTTGCAGCATTTAAGTATGTGTTTAAATACTTCCTGTTGTTTTCCAGGAAGTCTCATTTGGGTATGTTCAGGGATGGGGGTTAGACCCTGACCTCTCATGCCCCATGTACTACTGCACATCACTAAAGTTATTTCACTTGCCTTAGAGTCAGTTGGTCAATACGCATTTATTAAGTGCCTACTACATGCCAGGAACTGTGCTAAGAACTGTGGATAAGAAAAAAGAGGCAAAAGATAGTCCTTACCTTCAAGGAGTTCACAGTCTACACCCTGGCCACCATTTTCCTAATAGCATTGATGATCAAGAATAAAACAGTTCACATATTTGGAAGGAGTATGCTAGTTGTTGTTTTTTAATACCGAGAGCCATGTAGAGTTTTTTATTGTGTCCTTTGATCAAAATGACATATAGGAATAGGAGTTAAAATTAAGAATAAGAAACTTTATAGTAAAATGCTTTGGAGGGTCAGCTAGGTGATACAGTGGATAAAGCCCTGGACTTGGAGTCAGGAAGAACTGAGTTCAAATTTGGCCATAGACACTTACTAGCTTTGTGATGCTGGGCAAGTCATTTAATTGCTTGTTTCCTCATCTGTAAAATGGAGATAATAATAGCACTTATCTCTCAGGGTTGTTGTGAGCACAAATAAGATAATATTTGAAGCTCTTAGCACAATGCCTGGTGCATAGTATGTGTTTAATAAGTGCTTATTTTAAAAACTTCAGAATTGTATATGAAATATCTTGCTCTCTTATTCATCTGATTCTGTTTGTTTTCCTGTAGAAAAGTAACATTATTTTATCCATATCTTGGTGAATGAAAAGCTATTAAGGAACTTTTAGGTGGTAATGAAAATTAGATAATAGTAATTATTTGTTGTAATATATACATATGTGTTATCTATGTGTGTACATATTGAAAAGATATTTGTACCTTTTGACCCATTTATTAGCTCAGTTTATCCCACATATCTTTAGGGTAACATCCAATATTTTTTATTCATAATGTCTATATAATGATACTAAAATGCTTGAGAATTTTCTTTTAAAAGCAGCAAGCTATTGCAATTTAAAAACACTTTCTTCTAACTGAACCTAACTATAATTCTCTAGAATTGTAGAAATAGCTGAGTAATAGATTATTTTTGCACTTGGACAAAACACAGCACAGCATATCAGAGGATCAGCACTCATAGGGCAGGCTTATTGTGTGTTAGGTTTGCATGTGTGTGACACAGTGAAACAAATTGCAGTCGTCACGTAACTGGTGCCAAAAAATTATCTCATTTTCATTGTTTGTTACATTTAAATTTCATTTAAGGTTTTAAGTGAATGGCTGGGCCAATTTTTATAATAAATTACATTTTAGGCTCAGATATAAAACAGTGTTCCATGGCTCTGATTTCCTGTAAGCATTATTGCAGATTAATTTTACTTTCAGACGTAGAACTTTTTACAAATTGTTCATTTGTGACTTTCCCAGGGCCAGTGTGGAAAATCAGGTCCTGAAATCTGGGTATACTAGCCGTGATGTAATTATTTTGGAAAATGATGACCCTGGAGGAGTATTTGAGTTTTCTTCTGCTTCCAGAGGACCCCATATTATAAATGTGAGTAGAAAAGAAGCTTGTTTTATACATTTGAGAACACAGCTTTAAAGGAATAATGTCATATGGCATTCCTATATTAGGCTTATGGGCTTCTTTTCTTTTTAAGGAAGGAGAATCTGTTGAGCTCCACATTATCCGCTCTAGGGGAGCCCTTGTCAAACAATTTCTTCACTATAGAGTGGAGCCAAGAGACAGCAATGAGTTCTATGGAAATACAGGGGTCCTAGAATTTAAGCCTGGTGAAAAGGAGATTGTAATTACCCTGCTGTCAAGATTAGATGGAATTCCAGAGGTATGGCATTTTATTATACTTAATTCATCTCCTGAAGTTAGATGGCATAAAAAATTTTGTACGTGGGAATATCACGTACAGTTGGAATGAAAAAGAGGAAATCAGATTGCTAAGAGGTTATCAATAGGTACTCAGTTTTTCTCATCTACAGAATGAGAAAGTTGAACATGTGTTTTGTAAGGTTTTGTCTCTCACCTCTAATGTGCTATGCTTTTTTTCAGATAAACACATACATACACATGAACACAAATGCGCATGTGCACACATACAATACCAAATCAACAATGTGATGTTTCCATGAATAGTGGCAGACTTGTATTTTATGAGAAGAGCTCAACAGATAGAAACTGATGAGAATTTTCAATTTTAGCTCAGATTAATTTTTTCATTTTCCTTCAGTTCTTCTTGGTTGTTAAGTAATCTTTAGTGACTGAAAATAGCTCATACAGTAATGATCTAATATTGAACTGAGAACATTTTTGAATACTTTTTTATTTAAAGGAAACAAACCTAAGGTGCCAAATTGGTGCCCATTCAGTGCAACTATCTGGCCTTAATACTTTACATATATAGAGCACATTACAGCTTTGAAGCACAGTATCATAGTTAATCCTTACAACAACCCCAGATGCTATGCAGGGCAGATAATATTATTGCAGTGCTATGGAGGAGGAAACTGAGCATCAGTTCTGACCTGCTAGGGAAAGACAATGGCAGAGCAGGGATTTGAACCTGGGTCCCTGACTCCTTTTTTTTCTTTCTTTTATTCTTTTCACTCCACTACACAGGATCTTTGCCCCTACATTATAAAGCCAGAATTCATGTGGTTTTAAGTTAATTTTATTTAGCTTTTTTTGGTATAGTTTTAATGACAAAGGTATCAAGAAAAAAATTTCTTATGAAATTTTAAAGTATAAATATAGGCCTAACCTGTTGAATTGGGCAATATTAACTCTTTGCTTTCTTCCTCCAAGTCATGAAGAAATATTTAAAAGGTGATTAGAAGAATCTTTACTTGTCTCCTCTTTGATGATATACAAACACATTTCTGGAAATTTTTTTATTGTAAATGTGATTTCATTGGTATAGAGCAGGTTTTAAACCTTTTTATGTGTGTTATGGACCCTTTTGACAATCTGGTGAAATCTATTGACCCCTCAGAATGATGGTGTTAAAATATGTATGTATGTGTGTGTGTGTGTGTGTGTATATACACATATGTCATCTGAGTACACAATTTTCCCTGAAACTGACCTAGGCTAAGAACCCCTGGTATAGGAAACTTCTAAGTAGTAAACTCCCACCATTACAGCTTGACACCTGCTCTGTCTCCTAGGGTCTCAGAGGGTTGTCTGGGGCTGCAGTGTTACAGACAAAAGTGTGAGAGGCAGAACTTTAATCCAAGTTTTATTTCCCTAACTCCGTGGCCAACTCTCAGTCCAGTTTACCACGTTCAAAAAATATTGTAAATTAAGTTTTCTAAGTATTATTTAGTCTTTAGTGAATTCATGGCCACTCACAATTTCAGGCTTTGTATTTAATTTTATTTTATGTTATTTTTATTTATTTATTTTATTATAGCAATAAATTTTCATTTCAAGAAAGCCTATATAATACATAAATAAATAAAGCCTACCCCACACAGGGAAAAAAACAAACCAAAGAACCTCGCTCTTCCAAACTTGAGAATCATCCTCAAGTCATCATTGCTTTTCCCCAAATGTGTCCACTCAGAAGCCAGATCTTGTGCTTCCTAGCTCTCATCTCTCCTCACACAGCTCTGACCTTAGCTTAGGTCCTCATTCCAGATGCTGCTGCTGCTGCTGCTGCTATAGTCTTTAAGCCCAGGTGTGACTCTCCTACTCAATTACCTTCAGGGCTCCCTATTGCCTAATGCCCCTAGGCTAAACTAGAAACCCCTGGGATTAGCATTTTAAACCTTCACAACTTGGACACCATCTTTCTGGCCTCACATTTTTTTCCCCTCCTTGAACTGGCCTTCCCCCTCCAAGGCTCTGTACTGAGCATCCCCAGCACCTGGAATGCATTCCTCCTCACTCCTGCCCACTCAATCTCTCCCTTCAAGCTTAGGCACCATCATTTCATGTGAATCCTTTCCCCATGGCTCCATTTTCCTCACCTTTATTCTGTACCTACTTATCCTTGTACTGGCTATCTCTACCACTGAGGAATGTTTCCATGCTTTCTGTCTGTATCTCTAGCACCCAGTGTAGGGCATGGCACGTAGCAACTACTTAATAAACGCTGACTGTTGGACAGCCTGCCAGTCAATGTCCAAGTATCAAACTTAGACCACTTTAAAAAAACAATCATGACTTCCTTCTTCTCCCCAAGTAAGAAGGTAGCTTTTCCTCTCTGCAATTTGGTTATCCCATACTAAAGTCATTTGTATGCGTGTGCTGTCACCTAGCATGGCATGATGGGGGATGTGCTAGACTCAGAGTCCAGATTCCCCTTGGACACCTATGTACCAGTGGGGGACCCAAGGCAAGTCCCTCTGCTACCCTCCTCTCTGAATTATCCTTTGTTAAGTTATTAATGCCTGCACGGAGGGCCATGACTCAAATGAGACACCATGGATGTAAAGAGATTCATGGAGATCTTGCTGATGACAAAGAGGAGGAAGATGATGGCTACACACCTTGATGATCAGTCTTTGCATCCTCCTCCATAGCATGAAACGACAATCATCATAAAGATTCACATTTCCATAAAAGTGTAAGGCTTGCAAAGTGTTTTCCTGACAGAATCCTATGAGATAGTGCAAGCCCAATCTCTCCATTTTATATATGAGGACACAGGGTGAAATTATATGCTTGGGATCGTGATACCAAGAATCACCAAGACCAGGCCTCAAAGTCAGATCTTCTAATACTGAGATTACAAAACAAAGAATCCGCAAGAGGCTCCTGGTTAACCTGGAAGCATGAAGGGCCTTAGAAGAACCAAGCTCACTGACACAGACTCCAGCAAAGAGCTAAAAAGGCCTCCAGATCCAATAAGGACCACTAAACCCAAAGAGAAACAGTTATAGGGCCCTTCATCTATCCTAGGACTGCGCCACAAGGCAGTCCCAAGTGAAGGATTGGGTATTTCATCAGGGAGGGAGCCCCTGCACCATGGCAGAGACCACAGTTGGCTGGTCAGTGATTTAGCAGATAAATCCTAGGGCCCCATGGGGGAAAGCAATGTGTCCAGTGTCCCATAACACATTAAGAAAGTGTCCACATTAGGGAGTGAACTCCATGCCTAGCACTGTAGGTCCACACTGTATCAAGCAACACAGCTAGAGCCAATCAATCAATATTCAGTTGGTCAGAGCCTGAAATTACCTTCGTTGCTCCTTCTTCTTGACCGCCAGGTCACCTGCTCCATGCAGTAGACTTTGATGCCCTCAGTTCAGAAGGATCTTCTCCCTTTTACTGGGCTTCCAGAGGGCAGCAGTTATATATTACTCATCCTTCCATCCCCCACACCACTGAACTCAGAACAAGCATTTTTCAGGGTTGTTTAATGAGTAAGTTCCTAGATTCACTCACTAAATCTAAATGCCATAAAGAAGGAATGTCCAAAATTACATAACCAATCACATGAGAATTTGAAATATAGTGAGGGAACCCAGAAATGCTGGCCCAGTAGGGTCTGAACCATCATTTAGATTAAGGAGGGTTGAAGGTATGGATACAAAAAAGAGAGGATTAAGACCATTTTCAGAAAGAAAAATTGTGAGAAATAAATGCTGAATACAGACACAATTTCGTGTTCAAACACTTACCTATCCAAAAAACACAAAAAATGTCCATGGCAGTGGGGTCTAGCCTGGGAAGTGGTGCTTTGGGGCTATCATATCCATGGGGGTAAAATCCTCAGTACTTCACCAACTCTTTTTGCAACACTGATGCTCTGGTACCCCAGAGCCCCCCAGACAAGAAGAGCAGCCTCTGCTCAGAGGGGATGACCATGAGAAAGCAGTGAAAGCCTTGGTGGGGGGGGGTGTCTCCTTTGCATCAGCTATTTGTTCCTCCAAGACTGGCAAATATTTGTCACTCATCTCTTTTAAAAAATGCAAAAAATATATATATATTCTCCTTCCTTCAGAAGGGTCAGGCTTTGTATTTTAATAATTTAACATCTTCATTTTAGTTGGATGAACACTACTCTGTGATTCTCACCAGTCATGGTGAACGGGAGAGCAAATTGGGAAGTGTCACAGTGGTCAACATCACTATTCTAAAAAATGATGATCCTCATGGAATTATAGAATTTGTTTCCGATGGATTAATTCTCACAATAAATGAAAGTAAAGGGGAAGATGTGTTTTCTGGTAATTACTTTTATTATATTTCAACTTATAAAGGTACCGTTAGTTGGGAATGTAATTTTTAAGTTATATTTTCTTTCTTTCAATTAACAAAAATCTATTTTCTCTCCCTTCCAATTGTCTCAAACAATTCTTGTTCTCAACCTCAAAATTCTTGTAACAAATATGCAGTCAAGCAAAACAGATCTTCACATTGTCAGTGTCCAAAAATATGTCTCATTTTACTTCTTAATTTATCACCTCTTTGTCAGGAGGTGCATAGTGTAAATGATTATCAGTCTTCTAAAATCATGATAGGTCATTGCATGAATCAGAAATCTAAAGTCTTTCAAATCTGTTTGTCTTTACAATGTTGTTGTTATTGTATAAATTTCTCACCTGGTTCAGTTTACTTCACTCAGTGTCACATGAGTCTTCCCAGGTTTCTTTGAACTCGTTCCTCTCTCTTTTTTTTTGTTTGTTTTATAACACAGTAGCTGAAAATACAATTAAGTTCCTGTTACTTTCACTTTCAATTTTACATCAAGATTCATTCATATGTATTGCAGAAACTATCATAAAAGTAAAGCTGTGCTATCTCACTTCTTGACTGTTGGTGATTTCAGTTGCTTTTTGACCAGTCATCTGCCTATTGGATTTAGTTAGGGCTATCCGCCATCAATTCAATGCAACAGATATTTACTAGGTACCTGTTGCATTATTCTGCACACAGTAGGCATACAGGCTACATTTAGAAAGTGCTAGCTTCTATGAATGAGAAGGTAAGAGTCCCACTGTTCTGTGCTCTAAACTAAGAACATCTGCAGTATTATATTGTTATTATTCTGGTGCCACAGATTAAGTGGGATATTGATAAGTTGGAGAAAGTCCAGAGAAAGCCAACCAGGATGATGAATGGTTTGGGGTTCATGATGTATATAAAGATTGGTTGAGAGAACTTGGGATACTTAGCCTAGAGAAGATTTAAAAGGGACATGCTAGTTGTTGTCAAGTATTTGAAGGGTTCTTTTGTGGGAAGAGGATTAGACATTTAGTTTGGCCCTGAAAATAGGCAAATTTAAGCATGGTGTAAAGAAAAATCTAACAATTAGAAATATCCTGAAGTGGAATGGGTTGTCTTGAGAGGTATTAGACTTTTCATTGGAGGATTTTGAGGAAATGTTATAGTCACATACATTTGTCACATAATTTGTATATATAATAATTTTTTATGCTTGAGTTAGACTACATGGTCACTGAGATCCATTCCAATCCCGAAATTCTGTGCTTCTGAGAATGTGTATGGAGTAATGTGCTGGAATGATATAAAATTTGTATACAACATTGTCCTGGACTTGATGGAGCTCACATTTTTGTAGGGGGATAAGATATAAATACAGATAACAGTAATATGCAATGTTAAAAGATAGGTGGATGACAAATATGGGGGAGTTTGTTACTTAAAAGGGGAATTAGGAAAGGCATGATGGAGGAAGTGGAATATGAACTGTACCTTAAACTATTGGTAGGATTCATATATAGGAAACAGCATAAGCAAAGAAAGGCACAGAGATGGAGAAGGATAGGCTATATTCTGGGAATAGTGAATCTTTTCCTGGATCCTAGAATTATGGAGGTACAAAATATGAGGTAAGGTTGAAAAGGCTGGTAAGGTGGCTTCAGTTTGTGGAGAGTTTTGAATTCCCAGTAAAATTGGTGTAAATTCTATTTTTGTTGGTCAGTCGAGAGCCATGGAAGAATTCTAAGCAGAGATACAACATGGACAGATATATGTTTAGTCTGGTAGTGATATAAAAGATAAATCAGAGGAGGAGAGGTTTTTCAGAACCTTTTCATGTCAAGATTGTGCATGACTTAAAAGAGAGAAAAGTCAGATGCCATAGAGCTGCTCCACTGAAGCAAGAGTCTGGGGAGAAAATGTATCACCCTGAGTAGATATTTTTTTTTTTCCCCAGCATTGTATTAGGCTGGGTGGAAGAAATCACAGATCTTGAGAATAGGACAGTTCAGTCTCATTATAGCAAGCATTCTTCTTGTCCATCTTTTTGGAGTTTGCATGATTGGCATCTTTGTAAATAACTACTTATTCACTGCTTTATCACAAATAACTTTTTATTCATGATAACAAAATAAATTGTGCCCTACAAAGGAAGACTGGGCTGGTCTATTTTTGCTGTATATCTTCAAGATTATGCTGAGAATAGGGATAATTTCATTTTTTGCTTTTGTATCCCCAACTATTCCCATTTATTTCATTTTTTTATTTGTACCCATAGTAGCCATAATTTTATTGCAGATGCATGCTTATTGATTGATAAATATCTAATATATTAACAAATATCTAATATATTAACAATCAGGTATTATGTTTAAATTTTAATTTTGTTTAGTTGGGTTCTTACTGTTCATAGTTTGTGAATTTGTTATTATGTATGAGATATGCATAAATATAAATGAAATGTGTATTATACTTGTTTATATTTCATAGCTGTTTATGAAATAATAAGAAAACGAGGCAACTTTGGCAATGTTAGTGTATCTTGGGTGATCAGTCCAAACTCTACAGAAGATGTGTTCCCTGTTCAAGAGACCATTTTCTTTGGAGATCAAGAATTTTCCAAAAATATCACCATTTATTCACTACCAGATGAGGTAAATATTATATACCAGGTCTTGCGTATAGTAAGAAGGCAAATAATTCTTGAATGAATGAATGTATATCTGGTAATTTTAAAAAATAAGGCATATGAAAAAGAGTAATTATTTTGTGAATTCATGTATCTAACCTCTGATTATAATCTGAAAAAAAAGCAGTGAATGTTCTTTCACTAGTGTTATTTACTATTTTGAAGTATAAGATGGGATCATAAGCTCCTGGATATGACCTCATGTGAGGACAGAATGCAGATATGGTTAGCGAGGGCAGGGACTATCTTTTGCCTTTCTTTGTATTCCAGCATTAGCACAGTGCCTGGCACACAGCAGATGTTTAATAAATGCTTACTGACTAACTGACTGATTGAATGTCCCACTATACTCTAGGTAATGCTCCAGGTAATGCTCCTGCTACTTGTTTCTTGCAGTCACTGTCTCCTAAATGTCTTTCAGAGATATTTAAGAAATTGTTAACTGCTGCTCATTGATTATAGGATTACTTGACATACCGTCTCTGTTATATAAAGGAGCAGGCACCTAGTTTCATAGATAAGCAGATACTAGAGAAGAGTGAAGAGAGGGTGAACGAGCATACCCTTTGGGGTTGGTATCAGAGAATGACTACTGAGATCACTGACCAGTGCCCTTTGATGCCATCTTCAGAGACAGATCTGAACTAAATAAAGCAATAGCATGAGCCAGCGTGGCATTTCTTACGTTTAATAATGAGAACAAAGAAGGGTACATGCATGATAAGGAAGTCCAGAAGTCATGACATTTAAGCTATCATGGAGGAAGTGAAGAGAGTGCTTCTATTAGGAACTGTACACCCTGATCTCTTAAATTCCAGATGTATTCTAATTCTTAAGAGTGAGAGGAAGAACAGGAACAGATAAAAGAAATGGATGCACAGGATGGGTCATGCACAGGTTTGGTAACAGTGGCCATGCCAACAGAACCAGAGCTGCAGTGAAACCTGTGACGTAATATTGATATTTTTATGAACTGGTTGTGAAACACTGGCATAGGATTTTTATGGTTCTTTAAAAGCTGCCAAATCTCAGTCACTGTTTCAAATTCTTTCATTATCCTAGTCTACAGAGAAGTTTTTCTCTATTTAGCAATTCATTTTTTAATTTGGGCACCATATTTTTCAGTTCATTTCAGAGCTTTTTGTTTCTTTTCAGAAATGATATCAAAAGTACATGTGATTCTCATTTTTAAATGACACAAGTCAGAAAGTACTTCTTATTAAGTATATTTTAAACAAAAGTGAGTAAGTGGTTAGGTTGTTAGGCAATTATTATTTTTTGTTGCTGTTGCTTCATTTTCTTCCTCCCTCCTTAAATCCTAATTTGACACTGATGTATTTCAGGTGTTTTAAGCATATTTTTTTTCCCTTGAATAATGGAAGAAGAATGTGTAAGGGACAGAGAATCCAATTTTGAGTCAGGGAACCTGGGTTTGAATCCTAACTGCTGCTTATTGTGTGGCCTTGGGGCAAATCACTTCTCTGTGTCACTGTTCCTTCATCTGTAAAATGAGGGAATTGTATTCAATGATTGCTAAGATCCCTTCACTACAGTAGATCCTATGATGTTATAAGAATTTGGTGATTCCTATAGATTGCTTCTAAGATAATTGTTCTGTCTCTAAAACGGTAATAGAATATTCACAGTGAACAAATACTTTATTTACCATGGATCTTTTTTTTATTTGTTAGAATTACCAATATGAAATGTATCTATTTGCCCTAATCATATAGTTTTTGAAGACCTTTCTTATCATCTATTTTTTAACAGATACCTGAGGAAATGGAAGTATTCACAGTCACCCTTTTTAATGCCACTGGTGGAGCCGCAGTGGGAAATGTAACTACTGCAACACTGCAGATCAGAAGAAATGATGATCCAATTTATTTTGCAGGTGGCGTGCCTGTTTTTAGAATAATTTATGTAAATTTCCAACAAAGAGATTTTTTTTTTAAATGAAATTTTCTTAAGCCTAATGCAATGCTTGTTTAAATATGGTTTGGTAGGATGAGACTTGTCTAATCAGCCGCACATCTTAACAAATATTTTAAGTCTTCTGAAAGATGAAAAAAATAAAATAAATTATAGTACTGTTGGGCTAATTCTCCCTTTTAAGCCCCAAAAGAGCACTTGTTATTTGCTTTCCTTTTGGTAGAGGAGAAAAGAATCTCCCTTTTGTCTTCTTTTAGAATCTACAGTCCAGCTGGTTCAGTGTCTGGTTGGCCTGACTGCCTTCTGCATGATTACCATAAAGTTAATTCTTTCCCTCCCAAAGGCTTGAATAAAAAGTTGCATTAAATGGCACTACATGCTGTTAAACATTTGAATATTTTAAATATATTATTAGTTGCTGGTGAATATTTTTGTTTTAATTCTGTTTATTTGGAACCTTTGTCCTCATCTCTTTACACAGTTTTGTTGCATTGGGTATTACCAATTCTCCCATGGCAGGAACTTTTTGAATCAATGTTGGTTGATACATATTAGTAGCAATCAATCAGAAGGTATTTTTTTGTGCTCATACTCAATGTCAGCAATGTGCTTTGGGAGACACAGAAGTAAGAAGAAGTGAGGTGTTCCTTCACAGACTTTGCAGTCTGATTGGGGAGACAAAAATAATCCATCTAAACTATTCACAGATAATACAAGACTGCATAAAAAGACTGGGCTGAATTGTTTGCTCCAGACTCAACAAGCTGTCTGAGTGCAGAGAAAAGGGAGTTCTCTGAGAGCTGGAGGGTCAGAGAAAACTTTATGGTGGAGATGGGTCTTTATATAGACTGCAAAGGATAAATAGAATTTGGACAGGCAGTGGGGAGAAATTTCACATGAGGGAAATATCAGTAAAGGTATAGAGGCAGTAAGGACCTACAGGTGATCTTGAGCCTAACTAACCAATATAAAGAATCAAAGAATTTGATACGTCTTTTTTTCTTCTGTATATTTCAGAACCTCGTGTGGTATGGATTAAGGAAGGTGGGGTTGCTAACTTTACGGTTCTCAGAAATGGCTCCCTTGATGTTGCCTGCACTGTCCAATATGCTACCAGGGATGGAAGAGCAATTGCAGAAGAAGGAGACTTTGTTCCTATTGAAAACGAAGAAACACTATTTTTTGAAGTTGGGAGAAGAGAACAGAGTATATCCATATTTGTTAATGAAGATGACATTCCTGAAACAGATGAGCCCTTTTATGTCATCCTCTTTAATTCAACAGGTTAGAAAGTTAGTTGTATAGCAGTTCATTTGCCTTGAATTGTATTTTGAAGAGAGGCAACATGGTGAATAGAGTAGTGAATAGAGAGCTGGCCTTAAAACCAGGAAGACCTGGGTTCAAATTTTGCTACTGACTCATATTGGCTTTGTGACCCTGGGTGAGTGATAACCTCTCATTGCTCTAGAAGACAATTCTCTCAGTCTTTAAATTGCAAAGATGTCAAGAGGTGGTAGGAGTTACCTGTACCAATAAAATCATGGGGCCTGACCCTATTCTTATGAAAATAAGCCAGTTTACCTTTCCAGTCTTATTCACATATTCCCTTTTATGCACTTTATGTTCTTGTTATTGTTCAGTTGTTCAGTCACGTCCAACTCTTTGGAACCCCACGGACCATAGCATGCTAGGCCCCTCTATCCTCCACCATCTCTCAAAGTTAATCCAAGCTCATGTTTGTTGCTTCCATGACACTATGTATTCATCTCATTCTCTGCTGTTCTTTTCCTTTAGCCTTCAGTTCCCAACATCAAGGTCTTTACATTCTAGTCAAACTGAATTCTTCACCATTACTTGGTCTTGTTATCCCCCCTCCCACTTCTGTGACTTTGACCATTCCATTTCTTTCTCATGAAATAGACTCCCATCCTATTTCCAACTGTCAAAATCCTCTAAAATTATGACCCAGCTCCTCCATGAAGCCTTCCCTGATTTCTTTCCCCTCTGGCCACCCTTTCCCTTCCCTCTCATTTAAAGATGGTGTCTTTCTTCTTAGCCCTCATGCTATTCTGTGAGAGACAGCATGGCATAGTGGAAGGAGCATTGGATTCAGTCATATTGCTCCGGGTTTTTAATCCCATCTCTACTGTTTGTTAACTGTGCAACCCTGGGCATATAACTCACCTCAGTTTCCTCCTTTCCAGTTTTGAATTCTGTAGCCCCATGTAATTCACACTTACATTTTAAGTTGTACTGTTGTTACTTGGGCATTTCCTTTCTTACTGCAGATGAAACTCCTTGAAGGGAAAGATTCTTTAAGCTTCATCTTAATTTGATGAATTAAGAAATAATTCATTCCCAATTTGTGCACTGGTGAGTGTACGTGGCCACTTTGCTCATTGAAAACTCAGAATACCCAGCTCCCAGACAGGGTATGGGACAAGGCGGGACAGGAGTCAGTCAACAGGCATTTATTAAATATTTGTCATGTGCTAAGCACTGGGCTATGTGCTGGGGAAGCCAAGAAGAAGAAGAAACAAAACACAGTCCTTGCTGTTAAAGAGTTTATATCCTAATATGTAGGGGGATCACGTAGCTCTATAAAAATACTGTTTAAATGTCCTCGGGCTTCCTAGTGGGGAAGCATGTTAAACATCATATGTGTCATGCCCTGGCTATGTGACAATAGAAGAGTCAGTTACCTCAGCTCTAAAAATGAAGATATTTTTATTTCTAAAATTTCAAAGGGTTGCTATGTGAAAAATACTCTGTATACCTTAAAGTAGCTTATGAACGTGAGCTATATTAATTACTGTATTATTATCATTGTTATATGCTCCCCTTCATGGTCCAACTCCATTGCAGTCTGGCAGCCTTGGGTCATTTTCTAATGTGGTCAGTCATATATTCCAGATCTATGAATGCTAATTTTACTTCTTTATATCTTTCTTCAGTTTTATTTATTTTATTCTGAATTTAAATAAAACAAGTATTTCTATAACATAGTAGAATAGAAAAAAAGATGATTGCACATAAAACTGTAAATCTATTATGTATAACTTGCTATTTCTTTTAAATATATAATAAGGTTATCATATAACTATATTTTTTCTTCCCTTCCCCTCTGCCCTAGAGATGGCTACCATTAGATACAAATATGTATATATGTGTGTGTGTGTGTATGTGTTTATATATATATACATATATACATATATATGTATACACACACACATAAAATCATTCTATACGTACTCCTATTTATCAGTTCTTTCTTTGAATGCATATAGCGTCTTCCTTCATATGTCCTTTGTAGTTAATTTGAGTATTTATAATAATCAAAATGACTTATTCATTCAGAGATGTTCTTCAAACAGTATTGCTGTTAACTGTATACAGTGTTCTCATGGTTCTGCTCATTTCACTCTTCATAATTGTGTGCAAGTCTATCTATGTTTCTCTAAGATCATTGAGCTCATCATTTCTTATAGCATAGTAGTATTCCATCGTGATAATATGCCACGACTTGTTCAGCCATTCCCTAATTGATGGGCTTCCCTGTAATTTCCAGTTCTTTGCTGCCACAGAGAGAACTGCTATAAATATTTTAGAACATATAGGTTCTTTTCCTTTTTCTCTAGTCATCTTTGGAAATAAACTTAGTAGTGGTGTTGCTGAGTCAAAGGGTATAGGTAATAATCCTTTGGGTATAATTCTAGATTGCTCTCCAAAATGGTTGGATCAGTTCACAGTTCCAACAGTGAATTAGTGTTCCAATTTTTCCACATCCCCTCCAACATTTGTTACTTTCCTCTTCAATCATTTTAGCCAGTCTGATAGGTGTAAAATGATATCTCAAGCTTGTTTTAATCTGCATTTCTTTAATCAATATTTAATTTTAGAAGGGGCAGAGGGAGGATTTTTCTTTTGTCCTCTGCCCTGATGTACTTCTCCCTGCCCCCAGACAAGCTTTGGAGTTAGCATCTTCTACCTGAAGTGAAGAACTGGTATGTCTTGAAGCAGTCCATTTTTGTTGTGAAGCGTATCCTCAGGGAAATACATGCAAGATTTCAGAAATCAGATTTATACAGGGAGAATTTGATTTTTGCCACAATGTTTTCTTAGAAACTCCATTATAAAGCAGATTGTCACAAAGCACACTGTATTTCCCCATAAGAAGGTTATTACAGTTGGGAGTTAGATGTCTCCAACAAAGGATCTAGCATTAATCAAATCACATCTGTGACTATGTTTGTGCCATAGAAACAAGTATAAAACAGCTATATGCCTTTCTAATAATTTAAACTAGTTAAATTATGCTCCAAGTCATAATCATAGAATTTTAGAGCTGGAAGAGGACTTATAGATGATCTGATTCAATCTTATGATTTTAAAAATAATAACTGGCAGTTATACAGTACTTTAAGGTTTACAAAATGCTTTACAAATATTTTCTCAGTTGATCTTCATAACAACCTTGAGAGGTAGATGTTATTATTATCATCCTCATTTTACGTTTGGGGAAAAGGAGGTATACAGGTTTTCACTGACTGGTCCAGGGTCATGTAAAACTAGTAAGTATCATCTGAGGCTGGATTTGAACTCATCTTCCTGACTCAGGGGTCAGTGTTCTATCTATCCACTGTTCCTTACTAGATGATAGAAAACTAGATGTAGAAACTATATCTAAGAGAAATGAAACTAATGTCAAGTCAGCAAATACTAATTAAGGATCTACTGTGAAAGGCATTGTGCTAAGCACAGGAAATAATAGACAAAAGTGAAAGCCCATGCAATCAAAAGGAATTGGGGGGATATAATATATCTGCATATAAGTAAGTTTGGAGAAGAAAAGAGCAGTAACAAGTAAAGGGATCAGAGAAAGCTTTATGGAGTATGTGGCACCTGAACTAAGTCTTTTTTTTTTTTTGAGGCAGTTGGGGTTAAGTGACTTGCCTAGGGTCACACAGCTAGTAAGTGTCAAGTGTGTGGTCTGAGACTGGATTTGAACTCAGGTCCTCCTGACTCGAGGGCAAGTGTTCTATCCACTTCACTGCCTAGCCGCCCCGACCTGAACTTGGTCTTGAAGGAAGATAAAGATTCTGAGGAAAGATTTGGAGGAAGGCATTATAGGTAGGGGCACAACTTAGGCACCTGCAGGAAGATGAAGTTGACCTCAGGGAACAGCTAGCAGTCTAGTTTAGCTGGAATGGAGAATGCATGAAAGGGAGTAAGATGACAGTCTGAGTAACCAAGTGGTTGCTAGACTGTGGAAAGCCTTAAATGCCCTGTGGCGGAGTTGTGGTTGTTGTTGCTGTTTTTTAATCCCAGAAACAATAGGGAGTGACTGAAGATTTTCTAACTTCAGAGAAACATGGTTAGATCTTTACCTGAGCCAAGATAACTGTAGCAGTAGCTTGGATTGCAAAAGGGAGAGACTAGAATATGGGAGTCACAGTAAGACCTTTAGAGTAGCGAGAAGCAAAAAGGCCCTGAACTAAGGACCTTGCTGTGTGTGTGTTTTATCCTCCCAGTCATAAGCTAACTCCCTTAAGGCAGGGATAGCTTTTTTATTTTGGCTTTATTGTCCTGGCTTCTAGCATCATGCCTTTCTCATAGTAGGCTTTTAATGAATGTTGGATATTTGGTATTATATGGTTGTTTAGGCAAATCAAGTTACATTAAAAAGCCTTTAATAAGCACCTGCTATGTACCAGCCACTGTGCTATTCAATACCAATAGCCATCAAGTGCTGGGGATATAAAGAAAAGCAATAAACAATCCCTGCCCTTAAGGAGCTTACAATTTAATAGGAGAGAGACAACATTCATACAACTATGTACAAACAAGATACATACAGATACAGGACAAATTGGAGTTAATCCCAGAGAGAAGGCACTAGCATTAAAGAGGACTAGGAGAAGCTTGTTATAGAAAATGGGATTTTAGTTGAGACTTGAAGGAAGCCAGGGAAGCCAGGAGGCAGATATAAGAAAGGAGAGAATTCCAGGCATGGGAGACAGCCAGAAAAAATGCATGAAGTCTGGAGTGTCTTATGAGAGAAGCAGCAAGGAGGCCAGTGTTTCTGGATTGTCCAGTATGTGGAGGGGAAGTAAGGTTTAGGAAGACTGAAAAGGTGAGAAGGCACCCTTCATAAAGGATTTTAAAAGCCAAACAGAGGATTTTGTAGTTTATCTTAGCTATGATAGGCAGCCACTGCAGTTTATTCAGTTGTCGGAGTCCTGTATAATGTGTTTGACTTGGGTTTGAGAAGATCACTTTGATAGTTGAGTGGAGGATGAACTGGAGGGGGAGAGGTATGAGGCAAGGACATCACACTGGAAGGCTGTTGCAATAGTGTGGGCATGAGTTGATGAAGGCCTGCACTAGAGTGGTGGCAGTTTCAGAAGAGAGAAGAGGACATAAGGTAGAGATGTTACAGGACTTGGTAACTGATTAGATATGGGGGGTGAGAGTGAGGAGTCAAGGATGACATCCAGATTGGAGGACTGGGAGGATGGTAGTGTCCTTGACAATAATAGGTAAGTTAAGAAGAGGTGTGGGTGGGAGATAATGAATTCCATTAAAAATGAAAGTCTCAAGGGAAAAAATGTAGCATTACTAATTTATCATCTGGCACTTGATGAAAATGATTTCATTCCTGCAAATAGATTTAAACTTATACAAATGATGTATTGAGATGAAATAAATAAATAGGATAGGATTTGAATGTAACAGAAATTACATTTCTGGTATGGTTACTTGAAACTCTTCCTTTTTGTATTTTAAACTAGGTGACACAGTAGTATATAAATATGGGATGGCAACTGTTATTATTGAAGCTAATGATGATCCCAATGGTATTTTTTCTTTGGAGCCTGTGGACAAAGTTGTAGAAGAAGGAAAAACTAATGCATTTTGGTAAGTAAATATTAATTCTATTTTTATTCTCATTTTGATATTTTTTAATCTAAAATATGTACATTTTGCTCAGTTTCAGACTTTCCTGCTATTCAAGATTTTAAGTATGATGACTAGTAAAAATATTTTACTTTATAACATAAAGCTAAGGTATCTTACCTTAGCCATCCTGCTATTTTTGCATGACGTGACATGACCTGACATGACATACCCCTAACAAATTAGGTGAACCTTTTTCATGGTTAGCTGGAAAACTCTGAAAGATGGATGGTGAATAGGAAAATAGAAAAATGTCTATTTGAAGATTACAGAGGAAATCTGTCTGGCTTTCTTACTCAATTTATGATCCATTACTTATGAACCTATTACAAATGAATCTTATTTGGTATGATTAATTTCCCAGGATTCTGAGGCACAGAGGACACTTTGGCAATGTATCATTGATGTGGCAGTTGTTTGACAATGATTCTGCTCTACAGCCTGGACAAGAGTTCTGTGAAACTTCAGGGATGGTTATGTTCATGGATGGAGAAGTATCCAAGCCAATAACTCTCCATGCTATTCCAGATAAAATCCCTGAGTTCAATGAATTTTATATTCTAAAGCTTGTGAACGTTTCAGGTATGATTTCTCTCTAGATTTTCTTACTATTAACACCAGGGTGCTATAGCTTATACTTAAACAGATACCCATAGAAAATTAGATTTTGTTGATTTTGTTATTGATGTTAAGAATATTCCATTGTGCATGTGCATGTACGTGTGCATATGTGTGTGTATGTGTGTGTGTGTGTGTGTGTATCACTGTTATAGGTGTTGAAAGAGATACTAAGTTTAGATAAGACAGGGACTCTATCTTCCGGGAGTTTTAGGTGAGCAGGTATGGGATGCAGACAACTAAAACATACACATCATTAGGAATGTGCACAGCAAAGAGCTATAGAAGTTCCAAGGGGAAACATCTTGTTACCACCACCACTGTCATCATCAACAAGAATATCAAGCACTTACTATATGCCAAGCACTGTATTAAGCACTGGGAGTGCAAAGAAAGGTAAAAATATAGTTATTGCCCTCAAAGCACTCACATGCTAATGAGCAAGATAAAATGTAAAAACTGATGCACATACAAGATATAGACTGTATAAATGGGATGTAAACTCAAAAGGAGAGAGTCTTCATGTAGAAGGTACTTACATGGGGGAGAATACTTTATCATTACCCTAATCTCTCCTTAGAAGTTATATTTTCATATTTAATTTTGGGATCACAGCTTGTTTCAGAGTGTGTATAGAACACATTTCTTTCAAGCCTTCCCATATTGCAATAATGGGAAGGAAGAATTGGAACAAACATTAAGTGTCTACTGTGTGTAGAACACTGTTTAGTGCCAAGGAAGATACAGAGCTTATATTGTATGTGGTCCTTATTCTCAATGTATATTCTGCTAGGGTGCTAAGACAAAAATACATGTAACTCTGTTACATATTAACATCAATAATAGCTATAGTCATTGAAATTTTTGTGGTGCTTTAAGGTCTGTAAAGTTCTTCACGTGGATGATCTATTTGAGATATTTACAATAGGTATATGCCCCCATTTTTTAATGAGGAAACTGAGACTCAGAGAGGGCTAAATACCTTCTCCATGGTCATTCAACTAGTAAGTGTAAGAGGCAGGATTTGATTTCACGTTTAAAATAAAGTGCTATATGAAGTCTAAAGGGGGGGGATATATTATCAAAGGGATCATGGACAGCTGAATGGAGAAGGTAGGATTTAAAAGATAGATAGGAGTTTAACAAAGATGGAGAGTAAGGACATTGTGGACACAGGGAACAGCAGGAGCAAATGTATTAAGGCTAGGCAGCTCAGGTTATGCTGAGGGGCAGAAATTGTCCAATTTATTTGGTTCTAGAGTGTGTTCCCACACATATTATATGAAATAAGGCTGGAAAAGTGGGTAGCACCTAGTTGTGGAGGATTTTGAATGCTAGCCAAAAAGGAGTTTGTACTTTACTCATTGTAGAACTTGGATATTATGGATTTGAGAAAAGGAGTGCCATGCATGAGGAAAATTATGATGGATTAAATGGTGGGAGGAGAGGATGGAGATGAGACATCTTCTTGTTTGGAGTTATGGCAGTGGCCTGGGCATTGGGTTACAAGGGCTTGTGTCAATGTTGTGGTAGTAGGAATGGAGAGGAACAGATGTATGTGAGAGATGTTGAAGAGATGGAATTGGTAATTGATTGGATATGAGGGAGGAGGGATCAGGTTAGGGTTAAACATAACAAGGTTGTGAAGATTGGAGACTGGCTAAATGGTGGTGTTCTATGGTTCTGGCCAAATTTCAAAGTTTCTTGAAGACAGAGCATTGAGTGTAAAAATAATTTTCAACATTACTTAAATATGTGTGATTGCTCCAAGTGGTTATTCCTTCCATTAGTGCAGATCACCATGTTTTTGTGCTTTCTGTCCAAAGAATTACATCTGCATGTCCACTAAAACCCCTATATCTTTTTCAGATAAACTGTTATCTAACTATGCATCTCTCATCTTGCATTTGTGAAGTGGAGGTGTAAGGCCTTAGTTTTATTCCTATATTTTGAACCTAAGTGTAAGATCTTATTTTTGTCCTTATTAAATTTCCTCTTGATTCAGACCCAAGTTCTGATTTGTGAAGATGTTTTTGAATTCTGACTCATTCATCTTGTGTGTTAGCCAGCCTTCTTAGTTCTCCTTTGTATCTATACGCCCAACTGTTCTCCTTGACTTAATTTCTTTATGTTTCATTCCCCATTTCCTCACATAGAATTTTGGATCCTGAGGTGGCAGAGCCCAATTGTGATGGTTCTATTATCTCTGATGGTGAGAAGATATAACTACTTTGGCACATTGGTTACATTTCATATCTGTTTATTGTCCTTCTTCTAGTTTCATCTGCTGGGATGCATGCCAAGCTTTCTGAAGGCTCATTTTCTCTGACACTAGTTTTTGATGTTTTGCAAGGCAATATTGTTCACAGACTTTTATCCTAATCCAAATCAATCCAACAAACAGTTATTAAGCACCTACTATGTGCAAGGTTCTCTCCTACCATTGAGATACAAAAAGTTTGGCAAATAGTTGCTGCTCTCTAGAACCTTACATTTTACTGAAGGGATATAAACACATAAGTATATGGATGATAATTTGAGGGAGAAGATAGCACTAACAACTAGGGAGAGACTTCCAATAAAAGGTGGCACATGAGTGAAGCCTGGAAGGAAGATAACGATTCTAAAAAGTGTAGGTCAGGCAGGATTGCATTTCAGCCATGAAATAACATGTACAAAGGTATGGATTCAGAAAATTCTTCAGGGGATAGAAAGTTGGCCACAGAGGCAGTCATTAGAGTTCGTAAGGGCAATATTTTGCAATTATTCCAGAAAAGGAGATAGAAGGAAGACTGGATGAAAAGCTAAGCTGAGAAGTTTATATTTTAAGTTAGAAGCCATAGGTAGCCACTGAAATTTCTTGAGCAGGGAAAATGACATCATCACAACTATGGTTTAGAAAGATTATTTTTATATCCATGTGGAAGATAGGAGGCAGGAGAGACTAGAAGTTGGAAGTCTAATCAGGAGGCTGCTATAAGAGTCTAGCTGAGAGTTGATAAGGGTCTGAGCTATGGTGGTGATTGAGTAAAGAATAGGGGAAGGAGGTAGAGTTTCAACTCATGGTCAACCTGTTCTGTTATCCTATTCCTTCTTAATTTGCCCTTTCCACTGACTTTCGGAAATTCACAAAGACATTCCCCTTTTCTTTCCATTTGACTTTTTTTGTTTCCCCCTTTCTATAACATTTCTTTTATAGGTGATATTAGCCTTGTTAAATATGCATTTGTTTTTAATGTTAAAAATTATTCTTTTAAATAAACTGAAAGTCTTCTACGTATGCAATATACTGGTTTCAGATTCTGGGTTCTTACTCATTTTGTATCTCCAAACACAGGTGGATCCCCAGGTCCTGGTGGGCATCTAGCAGAAACCAACCTGCATATCACAGTAATGATCCCATTCAATGATGACCCCTTTGGAGTTTTTGTCTTGGACCCCAATTGTCAGGAACGGGAAGTAGCAGAAGACATCCTTTCAGAAGATGATATGTCCTATATTACCAACTTCACTGTTTTGAGGCAACAAGGCACCTTTGGAGATGTACGAGTAGGCTGGGAAATACTATCCAGTGAGTTCACTACTGGATTACCTCCAATGATAGATATTTTATTGATTGGAATTTTTCCCAGCTCCGTGCAATCACAGCCACATAGGAGACGGCATCACAGTGGAACAGATGCTTTGTACTTCAGTGGAATGGAGGATGCATTTGGAACCATTAGTTCAAAGTACCATACCACCAGGAATAACACAATTGTCAACTTTACATTTTCAGCTTGGGTGATCCCTAATGCCAATACAAATGGATTTATAGTAGAAAAGGATGATGACAATGGAACCATGTACTATGGTGTGAGGATTCAAACAAATGCTTCCTATGTAACACTTATGCTTCATTACACTACCCTGGGTTCCAATATTACTTATGTTGCCAAAACAACAGCCATGAAATACTTGGAAGAAAACATTTGGCTTCATCTTCTGATTATCCTGGACGATAGCATAATTGAATTCTACCTTGACGGAAATCCAATGCCTCGAGGATTAAAGAGCTTGAAAGGTGAAGCAATAGCTGATGGTGAGTGAAGTCTTCACAGCCAGTTCATTAGATTTGGAGTTATTCTAAGCTAGAAGGTATTAGGAAAAGCAAGTGTTCATTAAAAATGAGTCACTTACTTTTAAAGTTGCAGGTTTAGGAAAAAACTATTGAACATGAGTAAGAGTTCACATAGCTGAACTCTATGGGCTACTTTGAAGAGACATTCTTGTGTTTAAACTGAATTAAGTGTTTCTGTTTTGAGGAGTATTTGTGTATGTATATTATCACTTGGTGACCTCATCAGATCCCATAGTTTTAATTATTATTTTTGTTCAGATAACTCTTAAATCTAAATCACCAACTAGTCTCTTTCCTGACTTCCTGTCAATCATCACTAAGTGCTGACTGACTATTTCTAAGTGAGTGTCCCATAGGTCTTTCAAACTCAATGTGTCCAAAGCAAAACTCATCATCTTTCTTTCTAAACTCACCTTTCTTCTGAAATTCCCTATTTTTGTTGAAGGCACCACCTTATGTCCAGGCACCCAGGTTCACAAACTCATTGTCATTCCCAACCCTTCACACACACACACACACACACACACACACACACACACACACACACACTCACACACACACATTCACACTCACACACACATTCACACTCACGCTTATACATATTGTTCAGTCATTTCAGTCGTATCCGATTCTTCCTGACCTCATTTGGGGTTTTCTTGGTAAAGATACTGGAGTGGTTTGACATTTCCTTCTCCTACTCCTTTCACAGATGAGGAAACTGAAGCAAACAGGGTTAAATGACTTGCCAGGGTCTCATAGCCAATATGGGTTGGAGGGTAATTGAGCTCAGGTCTTCTTTACTCTAGTAATTTGTTCTCCATTCATTATGGCTTCTCCGGTAAGTGAACAGTTAGATAGGGTAAGTAGATAAATATTTGTCCATATATATGTATTATTTTGAACAATAAACAAAGAAAAATGTACTGAGATTACATTCTTTCTCAGCATGTTCTTCATTGATTTTTTGATTAATTGGTTTTCTTTCCCATTTTTGATATTGAAGTACTCAATGTACACCTGTTTAGAATATGTACAGCAAATTTCCTAATGCCCTTGGTATGCCTTGGCAGAGGCTTGTGGTCTGCAGTGGAGGAGGGAGTGCCCCCATTGATTCTTAGTTATGGCCTCCAATACTAAGCATTGCAACCTAAACTGAACTTTTTCTCCTCTGAAATTTTTTAGGTTCAGTTTAATCCATTTCAACAAATATTTATTAAATGCTACTCCTGTAGAGTGAAGTCAGGGTGGTACAGTGGTTAGAGGACCATGCTTGGAGTTAGGAAGGCTAGGATTTGAATTTTGCCTTTAAAATACTGTAGCCATAGGCAAATTGCTTAATTTCTGAGTGTCCTAGGAAACTAAGACATAAATTGCCAACAAAGGTATGATTTGCATCAGTCAAAAGAGTTGTCACACTTGGATATTGGCTATGCAAATTAAATCAGAGATGCAAACCAGAGTACAATGAAGTATCTTCACTACTCATTGGGTCAGTAACTCAGGAGAAACACTAGTCTCAGAGTCAAGAATGGTTCAAGTCCTGCCCTTGACATGTACTAGTTGTATGACCTTGGACAAATCATTTAATCTCTTAGTACCACCAGCTAAATTAAAAGGCTGAAGTTGCACAGCAGGTGCTAATCTACGTTGGTAGAGGAAGTTTTCATATACCAATGAACTAAAGGGTCTGCAAAAAAAGGATATCACCTCCATGAAAACATTCTTCTGGTACCTCATCATGGAGTTGAGAGGTTAAAGGGAAGCAGGTTTTTCCAATATAAATGGTAGCTATTAATACTTTTATCAAATTGGAAAAGGTTAAGATCTGGTAATGGTTTATCTTTTAGCCAAGAAGAGCTTTGATAAATTTGGAGAAACTCATTATTAGATTGACTACCTGGTGATAATTTTTTTTGGAGGGACCACTACAAATCCACAAGACCATTTACTGCAACAATGGGAAATTACAGATCATTAAATTATTGAAGGAAGTCTTGTTAGGGTGTGTATGTGTATGTATATATGTACATATCTATGTATATGTATATGTATACATATATACATATTAATGTATGTATGTTCTATCTCCTCAAATAGATTTTGAACATAGTAATGGAAGGAGCCATAGCTTATACATTTATGTCCCCAAAAAAGTTATTGTAGGATAATGTCCAGGTCAGGGAGTTATCCACAGAACTAGGAAAGAAGGAAGGAAAAGGGACACAACTAAATTTTATGGCAAGATTGTTCACTTAGGCTGTCTGTCTGATGAACTGGTAATGACTTTTCCTTCTCAAATGCCATAGGAAAATGAATAGGACTTACATTATAGAAAAACTGTCATTTTGGAGCCAGATGAATTAACTGAGTGGGAATTATGCTCCTGTTACACTGACAAAATGGTATTGAATTACTTAGTCCACAGCCATAACTGTGGGCATGTGGCCAGTTACGTTTATAAATTTCCAGATTATTGTGACTACTTAAAAGGAGGAAACTTAGTGGTGGTTTATAAAAATGTTACCACTGGGACAGTTTTACTTATTGTCTTGGAAATTTACCTCAGAGGTTCCCTAGTATAAATACAGTTTAGTTGAACAATTATCTCTATTTTATAGAGGAGGAGACTGAGGCTGAGAACAGGTTAGATGACATATTCAGGGTCACATTGTTATTGAGTATCTGAGTCAGGATTAAAACTCAGGTTTTCCTGATGCCAAGTTCAGCATTTTATCCTCAATGCCACCTAGCAAATTATATTTATTGACTAGCTGTGTGACCTTGGGCAGTTCACATAACCTCTATTTGCCTCAGTTTCCTCATCTGTAAAATGGAGACCATAATAATGCTAACTCCCCAGGGCTGTTATGAAGATTAAATGAGATAATTGTAAATTGCTTAGCACAGTTTCAGGTACATAATAGCACCATATAATTGGTAGCTTTCTTATTACTGTTGTTGTTATTTGTCCTTTGTTCTCGAAGAGAACCAATGACATCACGAGCATGATGTCTTGACTTGCGCATGATTTGAATGAGGCAGAGCTGAGCAAAGTCAGTCACGTTTTCTCCCATGGAGACTGTTACTCATTATTTCCTCATTTGATGAACGTGAGCTGGTACCTCAAAGTTGTTATAGTTTATATCTCTTTGATGATCAGTGAGGTTGAATATTTTTTAAAGTAATTACTAATAATATGTGTTTCTTCTTTTGAAAATTTTTCATATTAGTTACAGATTAGAAATTATCACTGTGACTTTTTAATAGTTCCATGTTTTGTTTAGTTTAGTTATTGTTTAGTTCCATATATGTGTTTAGTTTGTCAGTTATATTTGAAAATAAATATTTTCTGAGTCTGTTATTTTTCTTTTTCTATGAATTATGTTGCTTTTTGTAGCTCAAAATGGGAAAGCACAAGCTAGGAAGACCTGGGTTCAAGTTCTTTCTCTGATATTTACTGGATGTATGACCCTGAGCATGTCATTTAATCTCAGCACTCTAGACAACTCTCTTAAGACTCATTTAGAGACTATGGCCACCTATATTAATAGAGGGAATGTCCTCACCCAGGAGTTCTTTGTATTAATGAAATTAAAGTCCAGTCCCTTATTTCTATCCACCTTTGTTGCACAGAATTAAAAAAAAATATGCCATGAAGTACATCTATCTTTTACCTAACAATTCCTTCTATTTGTTGATATAAAAAGTTCATAATTGAGAAAGTATTTGAGAAATATTATCGAGAAAAATATATAATTGAGAAAAATATTTCATTCCATTTCCCCCACATTTTTGTAATTACATTTAAAACTATTTTCCATCCATAAATGTTGCTATTTGTTGAGTGCTTACTGTGTATGAAGCATTGAATTAGGTGCTGAAAGATTAATAAAGGGTAGTCTCTGCCTTTACCTTAAAATCTAGTAAGAAACATATCCAGAATCAGAACATCAGGCAAAGTAGGAAAGTGGGTGATAACATAATAAGAGAGGGCCCTGTGAATTTTGAGGAAGCAAATAATACTTATGTCTGAGAGGAAATAGATAAGGTTTCATAGAAAAAAATGATCTTTACATTGTGCCTTATTGGGTTGAAGTGGGATAGGTAGAGTTGGGTTTAGTGGGTGGGGGAAAGGGGAAGGATAGGGATGCCTTCAGCAATTTTTGTCTTAAATAGGATCATAGAATTTAGAGCTAGAAGGGTCATGAGAGATTATCTCTCCAACTCTGTCAAGACAAGGATTGAAACTTAGATTCTGATCTTGAATCCATCCCACTTTCCACTTTTCTTAGCCAGTTCTTTCACAGAAAAATAATATATTTTAAAAGGTCTTAATATAGTTTTTAAAAAATTGATTCATCTTTAGTCAACACATATTATATCCTTTATAGAACTTTGAAATGTGGAAGAAGTTTAGTTAATACAGTAGTTTTGGCTATATAAAAGATATGGCTTATGCCATGTTATCTTTAAATGCAATGGTTCTATTTCATAAATCTGTCTTGTGATTTAAGAAGCTATTTAAGAAGATATAGCTGTTTTGCATTATGTTACATTTCTATTTTGAAATTAAATATTAACACTAATTTCTAATTTCAGGTCCCGGGATAATGAGAATTGGTGCAGGGATGAATGGCAATGACAGATTTACGGGATTGATGCAAGATGTGAGGTTGTATGAGCGAAAATTGACCCCAGAAGAAATCTATGAACTTCATGCTACTCCAGCAAAGAATGATTTGCACCCTATTTCTGGGTACCTAGAATACAGACAAGGGGAAACCAATAAATCATTCATCGTTTCAGCAAAAGATGACAATGAAGAAGAAGGAGAAGAATTATTTATACTTAAGCTAGTTTCTGTACATGGTGGAGCTCGTATTTCTCAAGAGAACATCACAGCAAGATTAACAATACAAAAAAGCGACAATGCCAATGGATTGTTTGGTTTCACAGGAGCCTGTATACCAGAGGTAAGATGCCAAACATGACAGTGACCATGGCTGAT